CGAGAGAACGTATCGAGAAACATTCGTAACAATCTGATATCCGGTCGAAGTAAAAACGAACAATTGGAAATTTAATCCATCGTGCCCTCTTCAACAACAATCGACCAACGAATCGACAGTTAATATAATATTAGATAGTTTACAACTCGTTTGTTGAAGGATACAGAATTTAATTTCGTTTCATTTCCCTTCTCAATTTTAAATTTGATCATATTACCCGCTCTACACGTTTCTATTCCACGTTTTGTTCCAATATGGCTACCTCGGATACAGTTTACCATTGATTTCACCATTGATTTTTATGCAATTACACGATTTGATCTTTTAACGAAGCTAAAAGCTTTTTGCCACTTTTTATTACTGCAACGTGTTGCCAATTCGCCGCTAAGTAACTTTTTTCCCAAAAAATTTTTAATCAGATTATCCGAGGTGAGTGGCCATCGGCCGCCATCTGGCGGCCATTACGATAAACACTCCATAGCGCATAATCGTTCGCAAAAATCGCGAGAAGCTCGAGCACGAAATCCGCAGAAAAAAAAAAATCCCCCTCCCACCCCCATTCCACGCGAATATCATCCGCCAATAAACGGACATAACGTGGTTACCACGTTAATCGCCGATATAATTTGTACGCGTGCGATGAAAAAAATTCGTTCGTGCGAATCCCGTGTGTATTTGATCGGGGTGAGAGAGCGGGCAGTGCGAGGCGACATCTCTCGTCGCTCTCGTCAACAGTTTTTTCGACTATTATTTCGCTTTTTCTCGATGGTTATGGTTTCTGGTTTCCTTACCTTTTCGGACACTTCTGGGATCGTTTTTTCGACCGGCATCTTCAGTGTCCCACTCGCCCGCCGTTATTTGCCCTCAAAATTCTTTCAACAATTTTCTCTCATACTCTCTTTCTCATTTCTTTCTCGTTTCTTTTTTTTTTTTCGTTATCTCGTTTGCTCGCTCTCTCAATATTCCGTCCGTTAACCATCGTATCGGCATCTCGTTTTACTAGCCTTCCATATATATATATATATTTTTTTTTCCGGTTCTACACCGTCCTATCCGATCTCTACTATATGTTTCCCGCACGCGCCTCGACTCTCGTCTGTCGCTGTGTCGCGCGTAGAACGACTCTATATAGGGGACAACAAAGAGACATCAGATATTTATATTTCTTTCGTATTTAATTCGTTGTTGCCAGACGGAGAGTATACTTGTGTATATACATATCCTCCTATTCACTGGCCAACTTTTACTCTCTTTCTGTCTCTGTTTACATTTACACGCACACTCGAACGTGCGCGTACGCACGTACTACGTGTCCCTCGTTACAATTTCTTTCTTTTTTCTTTTTCGTTGAAATGTAATTTTTACGGAGTTGTCCCGAGCGCGTCCACCCCTTCAACTTCGTCGCTTGTGCATGTGCCCGTACCACCCACGCGGACGCGTGTCGATCGAGTTTGAATTTGAATTCATTTTATGAGATGTTCGACGAGATTGATAAAATCGAGGCTGTCCGTCCGCGTTCGTGGCACGGCCCACGCTTTTCGGTCTCCGTGCTTGCACCTTCGAAACTTGCGTCGTGACGGTTCCACGTCGTGGCAATGGCGAGACAGAATACAAATTCGTGAATCTGATGGGAAAGATTTTTCGTTGGTCCAGACGAGTCGTTAAAAATCAATGAATTATTGATTATTGACGAATTTCTAAGAAAATTTCGGTGTATCGATTTTTTAATATGCAATTATAAATTACAAATTGAAAATCTTGCACAAGTAAAACTTCGATCGATGACGATTAAAGTCGACTTTAATTGAAGTTCAACCTTTTTAAACTTGCGTGACTCGTGCAAAATTTTCTGAAAAGACTTGATTGCACCGCGCATTAACTCAACCGATCAATCACGGTCTGGATCAAACAAAATCCAATCCAATTGTTTGAATAGTTTCGTTTAGAAACAAAAAAAGGAAAAAAAAAAAAATACAAAAAATCGTATCGTATCGTAAAAAGAAACAACGAATCGCCCGTCATAATTCGAATTTCTATACGCGAATTTCTACAAATCGATTTACACACAAAAGTTGATTCGTCTATAAATAAGTTGGCTCGTAAAGGAACGGTGACGCAACAGTGATTCTGGCCACGCCGGTGTGCCAAACGTGTTCGAAGCAACATTTCGTTCGCTCGATTAATCGCATTATCCAATCAGATTAAGTTGCTATTGCCGGATATCGACATTGTGCCAGACATCACGCTCGATCAGAACCGATTAACTGAGGGAGGGGGGATCGTCGATCGATCGAACTTCGACTCGTTCCTTCCCTTCGAGTTTCAATTGATCACGCGATCCTTGAATCGCGCCATTGCCAACGGGATCCTCGCCACTTTTACTTTTCACGAAGCCACTCGTCCACAAGAATTTGTAATTTTTTTTCTCTTTTTTGGAAGAAAATATGGTGCAATGAATTTCAAATTTCTCCACTGATCGATGGTCAAAAAGGGATTGGAATTTAAATTTCAAACGTAAGATTGATACAAGATTTGATCTATACCTATTTTCGATAAGATCTATGGATCGCACTGTACATTTAGAGACTCCTGCCCCCAAAAATGGAGTGTCCGAGTCACTCGACAGGAGTCAGGATCGCGAATCTCTCGACACGCTCCAAGCACCAATCGATCGATGGCACTCGAGTGCTCGAGTGCTCGATCTGGATTGACCCAGAATGCGCTCCCCAACTATCTATCCATCCACCTATCCTTCCCTGTCCCCGCAATTATCCCTCGATTAACCACCGCGATAAAATAGCCGATAAAATACTCGGAAAGAGGGACTCCGTGGCTCCGTGAAAATTCGAAAACTCGCCGTGTTTCGAGCAGTGTTTCGAAAGCGCAAGCGAGCCTTTTGTTTTCTTGCTTAAAATTAAAGTCGCGTAGCTCGTGCTGCGTAAATGACCTGGTGTAAAATCTCGTTTATACACATTTTTTGCAAAAATTTCCAAACGACGGATGGAATTAAATTAGAAAAAAGAGGGATATCATTTACGAGCACGATCCCCGCGATATGCTTAAGTAATCTAAGATTCACAGATATCTCGAATAGGCGACCAACGTTTTTAGAAATTCAATTAGAAGCAGCGTTCGACGTTGTAGTAGTATTGTTAGCTACGAGAAAGAAAGGGGGGAGAAAAATAAATGAATGAATAAATAAATAAATAAATAAATAAATAAATAAATAAAGAAGATCGATAGAAGCGATCGCTGGTCGCCCGTTGAATTAAATTCGAAATAACGGTAATTGTATGAGCGAGTAGCGCGGACGAGGAGCGGAGACTCGCTCGTCCGCGCTTCCCGCTGTGCACCTGCAAAAATAAGTACAACACGTGTATATAAATGAATTAATGGCGAATGTATACATATATATATGTATGTATATATATATATAAGTATAAGAATGTTCATGCACACCTCAATCTTTCTGCCCTCAACCACGGTGCCGTGTAGCCTCTCACGTGCCCGGTCCGCGTCAGCACTATTTGCGAATGTTACAAAACCGAATCCCTGCATGCAAGGACAGACAAAACAACATGCATTAAACTCAACTTACAGACTGCCAGCGCTCGGCAAACAGCCGACTGGCAGGCCCGACATTTCGTGCTTTTTCCGTAACGCATTTTTGTAATAACAATTTTCATTCGTGTCTGTTAATACGAATGTAAAAAAAAAAAAAAATAATTGAGACAAAGGGGAAGAGAAAAAAAAGAGTGAAATAAAAGTGAAAGTGAAGTGTGTTAAAAGAACGAGAGATAGAAAATAATAATAATAATAATAATAATAATAGTATTAAGGAGGATAAGAAGTCGAAAGAAAGAAAGAGAGAAAAGGTGAGAGGAAAAGGCGATCGCCATTTTTTTGAAACGGCCTTCGAGAGGCCAACGAGTGCATTTTTCGTGGGGGAGTGCAGCGCGTGCAACTCGCGCGCTTTCCACGCGTATCGTAAATCGAATTCGTGCCGATTCGACCGAAACGTTTTCATTCAAAACGATACGAAGAGAGAGATTCTTCCTTTTCGCCTGGCCCCCTCGCCCTCTTCCATCTTTCGATCCTCGAGGCCGTCTTTTTTAACTCTTCTAAACCTATTCTTCCGTTTATTTCTCGAATGCAACGCACAATGGCCGTCTGCCGCTAATTAATTCTCGAGATCCTCTCTCGAGACGCTCGCCTCGAGGGGCGAAACGAAAAGTTTTGCTGGATTTCTTTCGTCCCATCATGGCGGCGCCAGAACGCGTCCCGACCGTTCTTCACGGACCGTTGAAATTCGTGTGAAACCGGATGAGTTTCATTCGGTGAGCAAAATTTCTCAATATTTGAAAAATATTATCACCTTTCCTTTTTCCTAAATTTAAATTTTGAAAAAAATTTTCAAACCGATTAAGATTCTAAATTTTAAACGTTACACTCGCAAATGGTTATCACGAAGAGGGAGAGAAGGGCGGCGAAGGACCGGCGAAGCACTCGTTTAATAAATATGGATCGATACGGATAAAAGAAGCACGATATATTTGCCGAAATGTCGGTTTGCCAGAGAGTCTGCGAGCGCGTCATACTGCTTACGGAGACGCACCAAACAACGTGCAACAAATAAGTAAATATAAAATCATGGTAAGAAATCATGGTCATGGTCACATTAATCATCTCATTATCATATCATATCATATCGTGTCATGTCATCATGGTCATCGTCATATCATTAAAGACTCTTGCTTTGTACCGAGAGGTGCGTGTACGAGAAAAAGAAAATTAAAGGAAAGTGTTAGAAACACTGGGATGTTGGATGAAGGGACGAATTCGAGACGGTATCAGGTCGAGGTGTGTGTGTGTGTGTGTGTGTGTATGTGTGTGTGTATGTGTGTGGCTGCCATACGTCGTGTGCAATCGTTTTGAATACGTTCGATAAGAGGAAAAAAGAAGAAGGTGACGAAGAAAAAAAATTGGAAAAGCATCAAAAGGTGCCATGAATCTTGGAGGGAGAATTCCTACTCTTGTTGTGTCCCCCCGTGATATTAATGTAAAATATATGATGCGACACGCTCACACCTTCGTGAAATACAATATCCTTGAATCTTGATACATGCTTAATTCCTGAACCTTTAATTTCCCTGAACCATAACTCATTTCACAGCCTTTCACAGCGAGAGAGACTTAGAACCTGTCCTACATATGAACCAACACAAATTTTACAAGACTCGACTAAACTAAATTTCAACTATAATTATATATATATTTAATTCTTTCGAATTCGAAATCTCAATAATTTTCGAAAAACAAATAAATTGAATCTGTGCTTCGATTCGAAAACGAAACTCATGTTTCTCATTCGAGGAAATTAATTTCAGGCAGAGAGAGAAGAGAAGAGAAGAGGAGAGAGAAAGAGAGAGAGACGTGGATGGATAATCAACTTCCTCTCATCTCGGTCCCCTTTCGTTTCTGCCAGGAGCGGTTACGTGCATCCAGACTGTCGCCATCGCTGAGAAATCGTATTAAAGTCAAATCAAATACGGCCTCTGCTCTCGAAGAAACGCGAAAGGGGGTAGTAAAGTGCAAAGTTATCGTGTTCCCCGCGTAATACAGGGGGGAAGGGAGGGTAGACCGAGGAGCTTGTTTCCTCTGTCTTCATCCCTCTCTTTCTCTCAAGAAACATCGTAACTCGTTCCACCATAATCGAATCGATGGAAGGAAATTGAATTGCCCTGTGGAGAATTCCTCTCGAATAATCGAGAGCCACCATTTCTCATTAATTAATCGAGAGGTGGTTAGGGGAAGGAGTTGTTGTTTGGTTAATCGAAAATTGGGGGGGGAGGGGGTGAGTGAGATTTGCGAAAGATTTCCAAATTCGGATCCTCGACGATGGAAATTTTGGGGTAGTTCAAGTTTAATGATAGTAAAAATATTAAGGGAAGTTGATTGAATATTGGATAACCAGTAGTTACGCGAAAGATATTCAATACTTTCGAGTATTAATGAGAATTGGTATAAAAATTTTTATACATTAAAAATCTGGATGGAAAAATGGGAATTTGTTTGGCGGGAAATTGTTGGGACAAGAAAGTCATTCGACCAGAATATTCGAGTCCTAGAAGTTTTCCTGGAACTTTATAAATTATGCAATGGAATTTTTAGAAACTTGCATTTTGAACTTTTGAATATTTTAATCTCCCGCTTCCTTCCTACTTTCCCCCTGAAATTTTTATTCTTCGACCCTTTTCTTCTCTCTCCATTCCTTCTTCTCGTTAAAAAATCTGAAACAAAATCCTTACCCCGAAGCGATATAAAAATTACTTTTACTTTAACGATACCTCTCCTCCTCCATATTCGCGCAATCAACGCGGAAAGAAAATTCGACGAGAATAAATAGACCGATAGAATTGGATATACGCGTCATGGTAAACAATAAACCGTATCGCTGAACGTTATTAAACAATATTTCTGCGCGGATAATTCTCCAGATGACTCGTTTCGTTCGACAGGAGCAAAGCCCTTCCCAATCTCTCTCGATTCACGTTCACCGGGCGGAAATCAATTCGTCATTTCAAAATGACGGATTATTTGAAGAAAAAAACAGATGTTAAATCGCAAAATTTATCGACTCGACACAGAAATTCATTAAAAATAGATGAACTATGCGTGCATGCAAAATGTAATCGATCAAAATTTTTCGAGCAAAACTATATAATCCATAATCACGATGCATGATATAAAGTTGTAAGATTTTTTCCAAATATAGAATATACCTTTCTTTAACTCTTCTCACATTCACAAAGTTTTCGAGTAATTTTCCGACAAACTTTCAAATTTATCCTATTATCACCGTCTTGGTATTTACGATTACTCGCATTACTTCATTTGGTTTTGGAAAAAAAAAAAAAAATTAAATTTCCCTTGGAGAAGCCATATTAAAGAGATAATAAAAAAAGAAGAAAAAAAACGAAGGAGGAAGAGCGTATATACGCGTTGAAAGAACAACGATCGTCCGTAAGCGAGATTTCAGGGGTGGGTGGAAAAGCGTCGTTTGTCCCTTATTTTTCATCGAATTTCTTACGACGAGTCGCTTCGACGCGATCCACTTGGGAAATCAGCATAATGTCGATAAGGCAGGGCCGTAGTGACAATGCCTCGGTCTCGAGAACGCGGGTGGTGAGGGGGAGGAATCGAATAATCGACAAATCGATTTGCATCGCGAATAGAGGCAGGCTCTCGCCCTATTTCGAATCTCGCCACATGGTTTTCTGCGGGAACTTTCTCTGTCGTCATTGTTTCGAAATTGAAGGCTTCGAGTGGTGAAATATCACGAACCGGAAGGGTGGGGAGGGGGAGGGGGAGGAGGAGGAAAGAGAAATAAATTTTGCAGGAAGGAGGGAAATCGAACGAGCGTTGCTCGACGCCATTCACTATTTTTGATCCCTTGGTATGAGGTCAGTTCATAAGTTCAAGCGTATTTTTAGCTAGTTGTAAAATAACATGGAAGTACGAGGCAGGGGGTTATTTTGATCCACGATATATTGGATATTGTGCGGTAATAACGTTTCACGTTTGAAAAATCTTGTGTTATTTTGTGAAAAATTTTTGGTGAAACGATTCTTTACGAATTTTTAATTTTAAACGTGACATAAACGACATAAATTTAACATCTTGAGCTGTTGGAGTTATTGGAATTTAGAAAAAAAAAAAAAAATAGGAAAAACGTGACGTCAAGATATTAAATTTACTTTCAAAACTTACAAAATGTAAAATATTGCTCGAACTAAATATATTTCTCCCAGCGATTTTTCCGAAAGAATTACGAGATGTATATATTCATCGAATATTTCCTATTCCACAATTGATTTTTCTTACAATAATATTCGGAAAATTAAAATTACACCAACACCAATTCGATCATTTTTAAAAAAAAATTCACGTTGGAAACGACAAACTGAACGAATTTTCGAAATTCCCTTCGGGAAAGATGATGATTGAAATAAAAATTTAAACTGCAACGAATCGATCTTATTTTTCGCCCAGCGATTTTTCTCCAGGATAACGAAAAAGGGGGGCGTTCTCGTCCCGAAGCGAGGCAGTTCTCGTGACAGAGAGCGAGATCGCGATCTTGGCGAAAACCTCCTTAAAGCCTTATCGGCTTTCGGAAAATTAAGGTTGGCGTGCAATGCGCGACCGGCCACGGAATCACCGCGCCTGCCGCTTTCTCCTCTCTCAGGAAATTAATCCACGCTCAGACTCTTGCGAGAAATCTTTCACGTTAATCCAGTTAAAACGAAATCACGATCACGCCCCTTCGTTTCTCTCTCCGGAATCCATCTCTGGATATATTCCAAGGAATCAAGTTCGAACACCGTGAAATCCCCTACACTTTCTTCACATTTGTCCAATCAACTTCTAGGGATTTTGAAGGGAGGATAAAGCTCGAGAACGATAACGAATAGGATATTCGATTTTTTTATTTTACACGTTCTTTTAAACTTCTAGATGCATCAATATACATGTAAAACTAATTATATACCTCT